CCACCCGCCTCGGCCTCCCAAAGTGCTGGGATTACAGGCTTGAGCCACCGCGCCCGGCCTCACACCCAGTTAATTTTTGCATTTTTAGTAGAGACAGCATTTTTGCCATGTTGGCCAGGCTGGTCTCGAACTCCTGACCTCAAGTGATCCACCTGCCTCGGCCTCCCAAAGTGCTGGAATTAGAGGCGTGAACCATCACACTTGGCCTTGCACACATTCTCTGACCTAGGCCTGCACCTCAATCATCCTATGGCCAGAGGCTTTCCCTGGCCCATTCCAATTCTCACTGTCATGTCATTAGTACATTCCAATGCCAACTCAGCTCTAGGGAGGGGGTTGCTGTGGGGCCATGTCATCTAGCATAATCAGGCGGCCAGAGGCACTCAAACAAGTGAATGAGCATTACAAAAGAAAAGTCATGAAAGTTTGTTCATTCCTTTGGACATCATTGGCCCTTTCTTCTGCTTTACTAGCTGCCAACCATTTCTGGCTGAGGTCCTAAATGAGACTTATGTTTAAACCCTAATGCTTGAAAGATGAGACTTATGTTTAAACCCTAATGCTTGAAAGCGAACTAAAATAGCTAGTGGTTTTGTTTTTTGTTTTTTTTTTTTTTTGCTTTGTTTTCGCTTTTTAATATAGTGCATTGTGGGCTATGTGGGTAGGTGTGGTATTTTGGAAATAAGGAATCAGTCCTACTACTATTACACTGCTTTGCTGCTCTCACCTCGAGTTCTTCCCAAGACGCCTTCCGTACTTTTCAGTAGATCCTCCGCAACCTAAATTTCTAGTAGGAAATAAATGCTCAACTCTTAAGAGTGTCCAACAAGTGCATATGTGAATCTGAAGCCCTCTTGGTGAGGTGAAAAGTGGGTATCTGGATTTGAGCATGGCTCCTTTCCCTTAAACAAATGACAGATCACAGAGAAAGTATGCAGAAAGGGAGGACTCCTTCTTTCTCCTGTGTAATACAGGATTAAGGATGATTGGCTATGCTCCCTCCCAACCAGGACCTTCTTACTCTGCTAATTAAAAATGATTTCAGACAGGTACTTTCTCCACAGTCTGTTTAAAGGAGCGGTCAAAATTGGATGTATATTAGAAACCAGAAGGAGCTCTGAAAAATGCAGATTACTGGGCCTCTTCCCCAGAAATTCCGATTAGGTATGCCTGAAGTGGAACCCAGAACTCTCTTTTTAAACTTCCCAGGAAATTCTGATACTCAGCTATGTTTAAGAATCACTGAGTCTCCCACCTGCCTGGCCAACATGGTGAAATCCTGTCTCTACTAAAAATAGAAAAGTTTGCTGGGTGTAGTGGCACACACCTGTAGTCCCAGCTACTCAGCAAGCTGAGGCAGGAGAATCGCTTGAACCCAGGAGGCAGAGGTCACCATGAGCCGAGATCACACCACTGCACTCCAGCCTGGCAACTGAGCAATCTGTCTCAAATAAAAAAAAAAAAGGTTAGGAGTTCGAGAATAGCCTGACCATCATGGTGAAACCCCATCTCTACTAAAAAATGCAAAAATTAGCCAAGCATGGTGGCAGGTGCCTGTAATCCCACCTACTCGGGAGGCTGAGGCAGGAGAATCACTTGAACCCGGGAGGCAGAGGTTGCAGTGAACCGAGATCGTGCCATCGTACTCCAGCCTGGGCAACAGAGAGCAAGACT